AGGGCCGGGCGCGCGGAGCACGTGCCGAGAGCGGGCGGCGGGGACCCGGGCAGCCCATGGACCCCCCTCCAGGGCCCAGGCATCCCACAGTCCCCCCGGGCGTCCCGCCTGCCTCAGCAGGGGCCCTGCGTCCTGCAGCCTCTCCCTGGCACGTGCCATGTGCCACCCATGGGCCTTGCTGAGCACCAGGCCCCCCTGTGCCCCACCAGCCTCCCCTGACCCCACATGCCCACACGCCTCCCCCTGCGCCACCTGCCCTGTGTCCCCTCGGCCTGTCCCCACGGGCCCAGCTCGCCACGCAGCTCCTGTTAGGTTGGTTAGGGACCCCTGTACTCGCTGCTGGTCCAGGCCCATGCTGCTCCTCGCAGCCGGGTCCCACCAAACCCTCGTACGTGCACCCTGGGGCTGCCACGGGCTTGGCTAGAGCAAACCTTCCACCAGCCCCCGGCACAGCCAGGAGCAAAGAACGGCACCCAAGTACCTCTCTGAGAGGAAATACTCACCCAAAATTACCTGGGAAGAGCAAAGTCAGAGCCGATGGCCGGAGGCTGAAGCCAGCTGCGCTCCGAGGCAGGATTAGGCCATTTCCTCCTTACCCAGACCGCCAACTGCAGGGGAGGACATGGGGAGGGACAGTGCAGCAAGGCTAGGGGTCCTCCTGGAAGACGTATCTTGGCCATGTTCTACACACCCCCTCTGGAATCAGGCCCAGTACTAGGCATTTCCCATCCTCTCCCAGGACTCGATTCAAACAACCCGAACCTAAGATGGGGCTTGGCCTTTCAACCCTCTTGCTGTTGACTCTGCAGGCTCACAAGTGACAAAGGGAAGCCAGCAACCCTTTCCAAACTCATGGCAGTTAAAGGCAGAGCAAGGGTTCCAGGATCTACCCTTTAAGCAAGTGAACAAATGAGAAGTGCCAAAGCCAAGAATGGAAGTTCTTTATTCACGGCCTGGGGGAAGGAGCAAAACTTGTCAAGTCTACAATCAAGTAGGAAATGCAATTTTCTTAAGCAGACTTCACAGAATTCGAGAGAAGTTTAAAAATTGTTAGCAGCAGGATACCAAATACTGAAGAGCCAAAGGCGCCTGCCGAGCACGTGCCCTGCGAGGCTCCAGCCCAGGGGATGGTTTTGCTGCCAGCAGCCCCATGCAGAACTGCTGTGGTCCCCTACAGCTTATGAGCTTAGGACCAATTTGGAAGGGCTAATTTCAGCTAGACCTCAGTGTGTGCTTGATTTACCCTCATCTGTAGTGCATTAAGAAAGCGGACAGCATGACACTGGCATGACAGACCAGGCTGACAACAAGCTGGACATCTCAGTCTCCTATATAGAGCTACAGACTGCCCAGCAGTATGTGCTCCGGTTGGCACTGGCCTACACACCCCATTGCTGTTCCTGGGATAACGGCCAACCCCAAGAGACTGCTGCCTCAGGGAGGAACCTGCTCTTGCTCTAGCATCACAGGAGGTTACAAAGCCATTTCTGCTCCCACCAGGGGCCAGGAAGTGGCTTTGTCCCTGCCTGCCCTCAGAGAGCCACCAGCGCCTGTGACACAGCAAGAGATGCTGTGAGCCCTAAGGCTAACCTCATCCCCAAAGAAGGATAAGGCACAGATGTGGCAGTTAGCAGTGACATGAGGAGTTACATGGCGTTGCTCAACCCAGAAAGGGCTGAAGTGTGTCCCCTCCCAAAGAAGGGGTACTGCTGGATAGCACGGGCAGCTCTCTAACACAGGAGAGAGACCGGGAAGGAGATGGAGATCCTGCTGGAGAGCTGGGGAAGGCCAGGAAAACAGCCTGAAGGGGGACACAAACTGGACAGTGCCTGTCACAGCCTGCGCACCCCTTGCTATCCTTGCAGTCTCAACTGTATCAGCTTGGAAAGAAACAATGACAGAGAATTGGCGTAGGCTTGCCCCCCACCCAGCATCCCTGCTGCTCCCTCCCTCGGGCAGGCACAGGATCAGCAGTGTCACCATCATCAGTCGCTTGTCAGGGATGTAACAGCTCTGACTCTAGGTGACCTCGAGACGTCCCAGAGCAGTAGCATTTGGTCATACTCCTGTCCATCAGTCAGTCCCAGGCTGTCCATCATTGATTCGTCTTTGCTCCTGCAGCCCAGACATCTGTAAGACAGCAGAGAGCTCAAACACACAGTCCTGTCCGAGGAGCCTGCCGTGCCAGAGAACTGGGTAGAGGACAGAGTGGAGTGAAAGGAGCCCTCCCTTGCAAAAAAAAAGCACAAGGCCCAGCAACCAAGTGCCAGTTCCCTTCCCACCTCCGCAGGGATCCGCGGCCAAAACAAGCCCTCATGCAACGAACTGCAACATATGCTGTGGGAACTCAAGCAAGGAGGAAAGGAGAGGCAGAAACCGTGAGGCTTCCTGTACCCAATCCTGCTGGTGGGGTACAGAAGGGCATCGCATCACTTCAGGAGGCACTCAGGTGTCCACACAAGTAACCTCCAGCAGAAGTGGCAAGAGATACTGTGCCAAGCAGGGGCTTGGACACAAAGTCCCCCCAAAACCTCTCCTGCACTTCCCAAGTTATCCCCCTAGGGACTGCCAACCCCTAGGTTTCCCATCTTGCCCACTGCTACAGCCACCACGATCCAGCCCTTGCCTGGGCATGAAGGACCTGACTCGGCCTTCACTGAGCAGGGGGAGAAGCAGCAGCTACCAGCAGTCAGCAGGGCTGTGCACCAGCCCTTGCTCTGCTGTGCACGCAAGAAAGGCCTGAGCTGGCTCCAAAGAGGGGCACCTGCCTTGTAAGTGCCACAAGGCAGGACCCTGCCCAGGCAGTTGCTGGTAAGAGCGTCTCAACATGGGATAAACATGGGTTGTGCAAAGGATCTGCAGGCCATGACTGCCTCCTTGACAGCTGAAGCTGCTCAGACACAACACAAGTGCACAAGAACTTGGAGACACTCTCTGTATTGCTCAGTGCCTGCTCTGGAGACAGTGTGATGGGTGGCCTGCTCCACCTTCCTAAAGCAGAGGAGGGTTTGAGACCCGATTCCAGACCTGGACCGGCTGTCCTTGCGCAGAGACACTAACACCCAACCTCTGCCCCTTCTCCTGCAGGGCTGTGTATCTGCCCAGCACATGCCAGCAGACCATGCAGCGCCTCCTGGAGCCCTCGTGCTTCTCTTGTTCCCCTCATCTGTCCTGACAGCACCGTGGTCTTCACGTGCCCTTGGGCATAGCTGTTTTGCCCACGGGGGCACTGCGCAGGGGTCTCGCCACCTCCCAAGGGTTCCTGCGAGGCCTCTCCAGGGAGCACAGCTCACCCCTGTGCTGCCCCATCTGGCACCTCAGCCTAGGCCCCATCGTGCAGACCTGCTGGCGCAGGGACTGGCGCAAGGGAGGGACGCAGGGACGCACTGTGGATGCTTAGACCCAGTCCCAAACGCCCGGGATCCCCAAAGCTTGCTGTGACACACATGCCTGCATGACCAACAGCCTGCAGAAGGGCCAGAGCTTGGTACAGGTACAACCTGACCAGGCACCTGGGAAAGGCAGCAACATGATGCCCCTTCATATGGGGGCTAGGGGCAAGCTGCTTTCTGCCACGGGCCCTGCTCTAATGCCCCAGGGGGGAAATGTACGTCACCTAGAGTTTAGCAGAAGATGAAGAAATACCCAGCAAGGCAGAGAAGTTGTTGGGAGAGGTCAGCCAGCTCCCACCATCCACGACCAGGGTGGTGCCTGTCATGTAGGAGGAGAGGGGACTCGCCAGGTAGAGCGCGCTGTGTGCGATCTCCGTCTTGTTCCCTGCACGGTGGAGGGGGATCATCTCGAAGTAGCTCGCCTTCTCGGCCATCTCCCCACCTGAAGGGAGGAGAAAGAAGTATTAGCTAGGACTGTGAGGCCCTCTGCCCATCATCACAGCCTGCCAGACACTGCAGCCTGTCAGCACTGCTCTGGGGACAAGAGGCTGAAAGCTGCAGATAACCTAGATGAGATGCTGACACAGCCCTGGGAGCAACCCAGAGAAAATCTTGAGCAAAGGGATTAAAAAAAATGACGTGTCACATCCAGCAGCAGGATATGTGCTGGATGCTGCAACGGTGAGCTCATGACATGATCTCAGAGAGCCTTCCCAGCCTGTATGACGGAGCAGGTGCTCTGCTGATGGGCTTCCAAACCATCAGGCAAGGAAGCTGCTTACACCCGGGGATTGCAGACAGCAAAGAACTGCCACGCAACAACAACAACAACAACAAGGGCTCTAGAAGCTGAAGAGGTGGTTGCTCCCTGCTCCTCCAGAAGGCCATGGCAGCTGAGCCACAAAACACCTGGGCCCAGTGGGAATGGCCCAGTCTGCATCATGTGCCCCACGAGATGCCTGGCACTGGTGGCCTGTTACAGGTTCCAAGAAAAATCCTGGCAAGCTGCTTCCAATGCACGGCCAGAGAGCCTCTCGGGATGCCTTACCCAGCAGTCGGAAGCCTTCGGTGCCCATGATAGGGCCTGGCGCCAGGCTGTTCACTCGGATATTGCTGGGTCCCCACTCCACAGCAAGGTGACGGGTCATAGCGTCTGGGAAGGAAAAGAGATTGTAACAGGAATGAGAAGCAAATTAATTTTATTCTACCAACTCTAGGGGAGCTGAAAAAGCAATGGAGGACTCTGGCCAAGAGTAAAGGATCCAGGTAAAAACACCTTGGGGGTGAGAGGAGCCTCAACCAAATGCCAGGTCTGTGCAACACTGCACAGTAGCTACTCCCGGTTCATGCTTCTCCTATGGATATATTCCCATCACAATATTTATGAACAACAAGCTCCCCTACCAGCCTTACACAGTTTGCAGAACCCCAGTAAGGAGCATTTAGGTACCTATAGCAGCCTTGGCAGCACCAGCATGCACCTGGAGGGCCTGCCCTCGGTAGCCCACGGTCGCTGTGATGTTAACGATGACCCCACCATGGTCCTGGGGAAGGAAATGACATAGCATGAGGCAGGGAACACCGCAAAGGATCACGCAGGAGAGTCTGGTGGGACAACGGAACTGGGCTAAGAGGCAGGGTGACACAGGCACAGCCACCTCCAAGCTGCTAACTCGCCCGCAGCCCTGCCCATCTGGCTTCACTGAGCCAAGCCAGCTTACAGCCAGTTTTCACAGAATCACGGAATGGTGGAGGTTGGAAGGCACCTCTGCTGATGATCTAGAGATCACCTAGTCCAACCCTCCTGCTCCAGCAGGGACACCCAGAGAACGTGGCATCCAGGCAGGTTTGGAAGATCTCCAGAGACGGAGACTCCACAGCCTCTCTGGGCAGTCTGTTCCAGGGCTCTGTCACCCTCACAGGAAAGAAGTTCTTCCTCATATGGAGATGGAACTGCCTGGGTTTCAACTTGTATCCATTACCCCTTGTCCCGTCATTGGCCACCACCAAAAAGTTTGGCCCCATCCTCTTTGCTTCTCCCCTCAGCTATTTGTACATACTGATCAGATCCCCTCTCAGTCTTCTCTTCTCTAGGCTGAACAGACCCAGCTCACTTAGTCTTTCCTCATATGATAGGTGCCCCAGTCCCTTAATCATCTTTGTCAATTTATCCTGGATCCTCTCTAGAAGTTCCACATCCCTCTTGTACTGGAGGGACTGGAATTTCCAGAAAGGCAGGAGAAAGTAGGAACAAGTAAGGGCCGAAGGAAAGGATAGGAGTTGGAAAAGCAGCAGCAGTTTGCAGCTTCTTTTCCTTGCCGGAATTTCGCCCAGTACAGGCCATGGCATGGGAAGGTGCCACAAGAGTCAAAGCCTAGGGTCACAGGAGATTTAGAGCCCACAACTCCACTTCCTGCACAACGGCTGCTACCCCAGAAAGGGAAGGGACTGGATCCAAGCAGGGTTGGCTCCCAGGAGGTGGTACAGAGCCTGACAGCACAGCTTGGGCAGCAGGAGGCTGCGCATCATGATCCCAGAAGCAAGAGCTCTTCCTCCCTCTACATTTCACTGAATTTCTCAGGAGTGAAGTCTGGTTTCTTTGAATTCAGCTCCCTGCCTACCAGGAGCTCCTCCACCGAGTCCTGTGGCTCTGGAGCTGCTTACCCGGAAGCATTTCTCAAAGAGCACTTTGCAGGTGTTGAAGGTGCCGTTGGTGTCAATATCCATCACTGTCTTGAAGCCGTTGAAGGACAGGGCACTGGCCGGGCACAGAAAGTTTCCTGCAGCATCTGAGGAACAGGCGGGCAGGGATACAGTCAGCACGGGGCTGCAGGGGGATCAGGCAGGTTCGGGACACTCTGCAAGAGGGACAGTGAGCAGGTATGAATGTGCACACATACCCTGCTCCTAAACGTTATGGAGCTGGAGCCACATCCAGACCGGAGAAGAGCTAAGGAGGTGCCACATGCTACCAAAACTCCTGCCAGGAGGCTGCTTTGCCACTTTACTCCTGTACTTTGCAGTTAAAATGAGAGTGAAGGGGGCGGCTTGCTAAAGCTGTACTCACACGACCTCAGACAGGGGCACTTTTGGGGGTCCCTCCTGTAGCTTGTGAGCTGGGCTCCAACTGCCCTTAGCTGGGGCAGAGGCACGAGGAGCCAAGCATGTGGAAACGGTGTGAAGGGGGGATAAAGCAGCAGAGCAGCAGCACAGTCAGCCCAGGGGCAGCAGACTGCAGGTGCAGGAGCGTAGTGATGACCGACACCGAGACGAGCGAGGACAGCCAGGCCTTCAGAGTGAGTCTTTGCTTTCTGCAAGACTGTTCTCTCTGCCCATCTCAGCAGCTCACACCATCAGCTGCCAAGGATGCCCCCAGGCTAGAGGGGTGGAGGCCAAATACTAGTCAAATACTGCCCATGTGCAGAGAAATGCCCTGCTCAGCAGTGAGAGTGGGCACATCTTCCCCATGCCCGCTCCGGCTACCTACTGTTTATAAGGATGTCAATCCGCTCAAACTCCTTCAGCGCCTTCTCCACTGCTGCCATAATGGTTTGGGGCTGCCTGACATCTAGGGACAGAGGCAGACATCGCTGGCCCGTGGCTGCCACCAGCTTTTTTGAGGCCTGGAAAAAGAGAGAAGGGAGATTCTTCCTGGGATTCTCTTTTGGGAACGGGAGACTCAGACCTTCTAACAGGTGAGTGATGAGCAGGAGCAGCGTCTGCCAGCCCACAGCAGCTGCTGCCTGCACAAACACCGTCACTGTCACCTCCCATCCTGGAAGCAGCTCCTTTTGTCAGCCAGCACAGCTGCTCTCTTTATGAAAATAAAGATGTCCTCAAGTGAGACAGCTTCATCCTGCTGGCACTGTGGCAGCTAAAGCCCCAGTTGCCAGGGGAAGCTCCTGCATACTGCACCCCAAACAAACATCAGAGAAGAACTCGTGCCACAACTGACGAATCCTAGTTAACAGCATTGCAAAAGCACCTTCTCAGGAAGATTTCTGCAGGGCAAGTACAAAGATATTTTGGCACAAGTCTGGACACAGTTAATTTTTAGATGCGATGATGCCAGGCCCTTCTCTACAGCCACTATTTCAGCATGCAAAAGGGCAAACACAAAGCAACTGCTATTGTGGGCTCTGTGACCCAGCACCTCTGCCTGAAACCACCTCTAAGGCAGTTGTTAACAAGCATGACTGTCCCAAACAGCTTCAGGAAACAGGGAACATGCAAACTCAATAGCAAAATCACTGCCCAGCTGAGATTTTGATCTTTGATATATTTCTGTGAACTCTGCACACATTTCTGCAAAGCTCTCTCATAACTGCTTTCACTCTGAGATCACAGCACAAGCCAGTGCTGATGAACTGAAACTTTGACCGGCCAAATGTCAGCTCAGGATAAGACAAACGGGGTGAGTGCTTGGGCCACCCAGCTGCACCCAGAACAGCTGCAGCCTAAGACAGTCTTTTCAGCCTCTTCTTTCTAGGTCTGTACCTTCCACTCCTCAAAACACAGAAATAACAGATTTTGAGGAACAAGGTCTCAACCCACGTAACCCCAGGCCCAGGAGGATTTGCCCCCATACAAGGTTGAGATTCCAGTTCAGCTGGAGATGCCATGTCCCTACTGACAAATCACCAGGCTTTGCCTCTTGACACCTCATTTTCCTCATCAACAAGGTGGCAGGGCAGTACAGGCTACTCACAAAGCCCTCATCTCTGTCTCTAGCAGAGGGCAGGAAGGTTTCCGGGAGCTCACACATCTCCGTGCTGCCTGTGGATCCCGCTGGAGCCCAAGGACTTACCTCTGACACCCGCTCCAAGCTCCGACTTGCGATGATGGTCTGGCAGCCGTGCCTGCAAGGAAGGGCCAAGCGAGAATAACCAGAGGTGGCTGGTCCTTACAGCCACCTCAGTCTCCCGAGGATGACCAAAAATTCAGCCCCTGAGGCATTGCAGCAACGCTGCTGTAACACACACCACTTCTCCCAAAAGAATACAACTGCGCCAAGCCCAGGACTCAACAGGAGGCAGATTAACAGGGCCCTAGAGCCCTGTCCTAGCCCTGTGGCAGGACAGGAGATCCCGAGTGATGTTCCCACATCCCACCGCACCTCAGCCTGCCAGAGCCTCGTGCACACCGGGTTGTCCGTGCCTCCCGCCCGCACCAAGGCTGTGCTGCGCCCAGCTTCGTGCCTGCCGCGGGTCCGCCGTGGCCCCAGCTGCCCGAAGCAGGAGGAGGCCTCGCTGCCTCCGCAGCGGCGGGGGGGCTCCGTCCCCTGCAGCACCCCGCGCCCA